GGTCCGCGCCCAGTATTTACACAACTGTGCTTGCTCTGCGAAAAGATTCTAGAAGGTGACAAAAAACTCCAGGCTCGAGCTATTTGGTCGCTGGCCCGAGCTAGTTGAGGGTACTCAAATAGCACCCAAGTCTTGGGGATCGAGCGTGTTCAACTAGCATCCTGCTGTGGGGGACCGAGCATACTCAAATAGCACCCAAGTCTTGGGGACGGAACTTTTTCAACTAGCATCCTGCTGTTGGGGGCCGAACTCAAACAGCACCCAAGTTTTGCGGACCGAGCGTGTTCAGCTAGCATCCTGCTTTTTGGGGACCGAGCTTACTCCAACAGCACCCAAGTGTTGGAGACCGAGCGTGTTCAACTGGCATCCTGCTTTTTGGGGACCGAGCGTACTCAAATAGCACCCAAGTTTTGGGGACCGCATTTTCAGAACACGTACGTCCCCTCCCTTTGTGCCCGGAGGGTTCGGTAAGGGCCCTAGAAGTTTGTTGTATGTCCCCTCCCGTCGCGCTCGTAGGGTGACGTCGTAAGCAACTAGCAGCCCTTCTGCGCCCTCATGGCCAATCAAATAGCTCGCGCCATGGCGCGAGCTACTTGGTCGCAGGGGAAACATCTATGGTGCTTTAACACGTGGTGAAAACATGTTTTCAGGGCTAGCGTTCTGCGCCCAGTAGCCTGTGCTAGCAGCGTAATCGTGGCCCTATAGCCCGCCTGCATTTGAAAACGGTTCCAAAAGCCTGTGCTGGTAACGGAATCATAGCCCCATAGCCCGCCTGCCTTCAAGAGCCCTCACCCTTCGAGCACGAAGGGAGGGGACACACGACAAACCTCTACAGAACATGTTTTTACTTCTTCAGTGTTCTGAAAGTGCAAACGTTAGGAAAAACATAGGATGTTCGTGTGCTTGCACACCCTATGGAGCCACGATTACGTTACCAGCACACAAGGGATAAACATCTCTGTGTACTTAAACCGCTTTCTTTAGGGGCTGCGAAACCCTTTCGCAGAGCAAGAAGAGTTGGGTACAAACCTTGCTTCCCTTGCGAAAAGGTTCAACAGAAGTGCAAGATCATCCTATGTTTTTCCGATTATGACTTTCAGAACACGATTGGAACAGCCTCCCTGAGCCGTCAGTTGTTCTTTTTGTGCTCATGGAATGGCTGGGCTCTTGAGAACAGAATTTTCTGAGTGCCGCCCGTGTGAGTACAGCATGCGCACTGAACTGGTGCGTGGTGCCAAAATGTAGCCAGTGCCATAAACCTAGGGTGCCTCCAAGCATGCGTGACAGTCTCACAAAGCTGAGGATCCAGCTGCATTTGCGGGGACTGCATCGGATCGTTCCCTGGCAAGCAAATGGAAGAAACAGGATGCGTGGCTTTTGCATTTTTGTGGAGGTGGTTATCAACAGTATAGGGGCTTAGGTTTAGAGGTGCCGAGAGGGGCTGCCAGCATCTAGTTCACACGTCTCACATGTCTAGCTGGTCGGATCCTTTGTGTGTGCGCAACCGAAGCTTAATCAGCACATGCCGTTGTTCGAGTCTGGTGAGCGGTCCCAGCGCCGCAAACCTGGGGTGTAAGCAGGGCTCAACTGGAGGACCCGCCAATGATTGGGAAATTCACGCGGTGCAAGACATTTCAAAACACGGATGATTCTTGTGCTGCGGTTTCAGGCCTAGAAGCTCCTGACAACATGTTCGTCTCCTTCCACCAGTATCAATGTAGACACTCCGGCGAACGCCATCAGTGTTTTTTTGGCAGATCTGCTACTTCTCAACTGCATTTTAACCGAAATACAAGCTGTCGCTCTGTTTGTGCATGTGCTGCCCCGTGCATGAGCTTGAAAACACCAGACATCCCAAGGATGTGGTTTAGAAAATGTCTTGAATGCGTGTGTGCTTTGGAATATCCAAGCACACGTCTTGACATCCACACTTTCGTTGCGCAGGTCACAGAGGGCGATGGAGACTGCCAGTATGCTGCAGCAATGACTGTCATGTCGTTGCTGGGCACGGTTGGCCAGCTTCGAGAAGCAGTGGCATCTCAAGTTGAAGGAAGCCTTGACCAGTTGCTTGACTACAAGTGTTTTCATTATTGGGAATGTAATGGCACTTAGAACTGCGGATGTTCCATGTAGCGTCCGATCCGATTAAGCATATAACCCACAAGTCCCGTGAAGGCCCTGGATCTTGCATAGAGGTTTTTTGTCTCTTGTCCTGCTCAAGCCTGTGTAGACTAGCCTGCCCAGAAACATGTCCGATGTAAAACCTCGCTCGATCCTACATACAGCCCCTACCCGAAAGAGCCCAGCAGTGCCCCCCCTGAGGCCCTTGTCCACGTCCCACGCACGCATTCTCCCGGAGCCTGCGGCTATCTTGCGGACTCGAGTTCAGAAATCCCAAGTAGTTGCATATATCAACTTGGCGGCTTCGCGACAGTTCACGACAGTTCAGACAGTCTCGAAACGCTCAGTTTTGGCAACTACATCCATGGCGACGTCGCAGAGTACATAGAAGGGTTGCTCGCCATGAATATGTTAATTTGGCTGAGTCTCTGGTAGAGGCACGCAGGACCAAGTTTCGTGTTTCATGAAGTTGCCAGAAGGAAGAGGAGGAATGTTGCTTTTGATCGTCATCCTTCATGTCCACACGTTGCCCCAATTGTCGACAGAAAAGGATTGAAGGGGCCGGTATGCCCAGTATAAATCCAGCACGCGTTCCCACCCCCCCAATAGTTTCCTCGCCCACACCCCCCCCCCCCCCCGCCCCCCAATTTTCCCAGAAAGTCAAAACCAAAGCCAAGCTACGCCCCACACAGAGGGAGGGTGGGGGGGAGACCATGGGGAGTGGGGGAAGGGGGTGGCTAGGGGAGATACCATGAATAGTTTATCCTTATCCTACCTTCCCTACCTAAACCCCAGACCCCTAAACCCTAAACCCTTTACATGGCGTTGACCTTGCCAAAGCAGCGGTGATCGGAGCAGAGCAAAATCAGCCACGCTGCATAAACAAAAGCACCACTGCTCTTGGCCCGTATTCCTTATCATTCGGTATAGTGGGTTTAGGGTTTAGGGTTTAGAAAAGAGAGCCCTCGCGATGATAACTTGTCAGATCCTGCCCAAGGGTGCGCACGAACTCCTGGGGGGACAATGTGACTTTGGAGGCGCGCTGGCAGTGACGTGGCCGTTAATCGCCTAGTTCGCGGAATGCGTTCAGTCATGCAAGCTTTCGATTGGAATTCGTGGCTACTAGTCAGCAAGCGTTTTCATTCTCTGCCCGGCACCAACAGCAACACAACACATGCCACATGCCATCTAATTACTGGCCTTCCTCTGTTGCAGGCTTTGAGCCAGCTGTTTGACGCAAAGCTTCTGGGCACACATGGGCGCACGATGTGTTGAAGACATCAGGGCGAAGCTGCTTCATTGAGTTGTTGGGCCTTCGTGGACTAAATGCAAGCTGGAATTATCTTCAAAGATGGTGCTGACACTAAGCCCAGTCTAGGGTTTGGACATTTTTGCCACCCTTAGAATTGAGCGGGTTGTGCTTCAGACTTTGGTTGTCAGTCATGACGAACCCAAAAGCCTGTCCATGGCGCTGCAGCAAGCGAGCGGGCCAGTTTTCAAACATCTCATTCCTGAAAATCATGAACCACTAGAGCAACGATGCGATGCTATCCATTATTCCGCACCGTCTTGTTTTAGCTTGTGGGTGGGCGTGGGGATGGCCAGGGACGAAAGTCAAAGGAGCACACATCGAGAAAAAACGAGAGCTTTGGATGCTGCTTTATCGTGCCCACCACCTCCTTCCACTTTGAGGGGTTACAAGCAAGAGTCCCCGCGTCAGAGGCCATGCTGTCCAAATAACTTGCTGTAAGGTTTGGAGCCCCAGATCAGCATCACGGTACCTGTAACCCGCTCAAGTCCTATTTGCTCATCAATCTGGACATGTGCACCTGAGACCAGCATAGCTTGAGCATGTTTCAGCATGTTGCACGGGGGTGGGCAGGGGAGATGGGGGGGGGGGAGGAGTGGGAGGGGCAGGGGGGAGGGAAGACAAAAAAAACGAGCAGAGTTTCCGATCCTGTGTGTCCAAAAAACGTACATAGCCTGCGAAACAACCAACAGGACAAATACAAAGGGATGGGAAGCAAGAATGATAGGGCGGGGGGGTAATGGGCGGGGACAGTGGCGGGGGTAGGGAGGGGAAGACAACAGTAACGAACAGGAGGGGGAAGGGAACCCCCCAAAACCGAGCCAAAACGACCCAAAAACAAGCCGCTCTCAACCCCCCTAAATCCACGCCGCTGGGAGGGGGGGCAGGGTAATTCACTGCCATTCATCCAACGTTGGAGCCCCGCAACACTTCCACGACCAGCAACTCCAGCTTCAGTCGCTGCAACATTCAACGTTTGATTTATGAACATTTCGAGGTTCTTCGTGATCACGCCGGATTCTACAGTGGAGATCGGCAGCGGCAGCAAAGTATGCTCCCTCGTCTTCTTTGTGAGCCTGATCCTTTCGGTTTGGAACAGCCGCCATCTGAGTCGCCAAGAGTCTTAGAGTATAAATGCCACATTTCGGATGCAAAGTGACGCTGAAGGCAGCATGCCAAAACATACTACAGTGCTTCCAGTTGTTATACTGATATGTGCTGTGTGGTACTTTAGGACTTTAGGAACACTTTCGCTTAACTCAGCCCATTACGGCCCAAGAAGCATAGGGTTCACTTGAGTCTCACTGACATGGCCGTCCAGTTGATCTACGCACAAGGCGAGACGGTGACGTTCCAAGAGCATCTTGATGGCAAGTACGTTTGACGCAAGAAGCAAGGGGAATCCGGTAAACCTAAAAAGAGGGTTAGGGTCCAGTGTTCTTTAGGGTTAGGTGTTCAGGCTTGTGGGGGTGTTGTTTAGGGTAAGGGCTAGGCAGAGTTTAGGGTTTGTCAGGTTTAGAGTTTAAGGCTTTCTGGGTCCTTGCAAAAGTAGCCGAGGTTGGCCTCAGCAATGGGACACACGAGCCACTCCGGCCACTCCGGGAAAGCTGTCCGGGAATTCGCCGCTCGTATGATTGGCGTGTTAGCTGCGTTGCTATTGGTTGGAGTCATAGCAATCATCACGACAGTGGTCACAACATCATAATCATGTCTTTGCCGAGGTTGATGCCCAGATCCTCACGCTTCCGCGACCATTGGGGGCCCCGCCACCGACAGTTTGCGTAACGATGCGCAACGACAGCAAAGGCTCAAAATTCTTGCTTCACGTGAAGGTCGCGACTCAGCTGCATGGTTGTTATTGTTATTGTTCTTCTTGTTGTCATTCTCGCCGCCGCTGTTGCTGATGATGATGTTGGTGGTGGTGGTGGAGGTGGTGGAGGTGGGTGTTGGTGTTTTTGGTGTTGTTGTCAGTGGTGTTGTTGGTGCTGTTGGTTGATGTTGGTGGTGGTGGTGGTGGAGGTGGTGGAGGTGGTATCGTCGGTGTTGGTGTTTTTGGTGTTGTTGTTAGTGGTGTTGTTGGTGCCGTTGGTGTTATAGCGTTTGTGGCACTCGCGACCCTTGATAGCTTTCACTTGGGAAAGGCTGTTTAGCACTCAGTAGCAATCCGAGAAATACGTTTGGCGTTTCCCCTGCAACCGCTTTTTAGTGCTCAATAGCGTGTGCCGAGTTCGGGAATTTCGAGTTCAGGGACTTTGAAAAACCAAATAGAAGCCTCGCTAAGCCTCGCTGCAAAAAAAACGTGCCCTGTCGAAGCACGCGCCAGACTCAGCAAGGGGCACTCGATAAGGATTGCACGTTTTACCACAACGAAACACACATTTTCCCCAAAACAACACCTTCAGCAACACTCGCTGAAGCTCATGCGTTTGTGGGGGTTCGCCCTCCCCCGAAATCCCTATGATTGTTGCTGCTGCTGTTGTTGTTTGATGGCTGAGGTTCGGGCCGAAAAGCGCCGGCGCAAGGACAGTGATACGATCACAGTGGACTCTCCCAGCCGCTCGGCAACGATCACAGTGGACTACCCCAGCCGCACACAATACTCCGAAGCCTAGCAACAGTACCAGTAATAACAATAGTAAGCCTAATGATAGAATACGTCTATATCATATATATGTATATATAAATGTGTGTGTAAAGTCTTTGTGTTATTACTTTGCGGTCTCCTCCTGTGATTAGTAGCTATAATCGTAGTAATGTCAGGAGTAAGAATTAACAGTAATGATAAGAACCCCAAAAACAACACTAGGTTCAGGTTCATAGATTGCACCCCGGCACCCCCTGAGCCAGAACCCTAGACATTGCAAATTCTAAAACTCATGAATGCCGCGCCTTGTCCTCATCATTTTTATGGGTTTAGGGTTTTGGGTTTAGGGTTGTTGTTGTTGTTGTTGATGTTGTTGTTGATGTTGTTGTTGTTAGCCATCTGAAAGGAACACAGTTGAACATGTTTTAGTTTAGTTCCATTGTAAATACTATAATATTGTAATCAGGATCGAAAAACTATTTGACCGAAGCCCTACTTTTTACAATATTAATCCACATGTTACTTACTAGTACTACTTACAGTAGTAATACAACTACTACTAACAGAAAGGAAGAAGTATAAGCTTTGCATTAACCATCATAATACTCATAGTCATGATCATTATTCTGTTGCTTGTTGCAATTGTGACATGACCAGTAACAAGAACAACGAGAACAATAACAACGAGAACAACAACAACATCAAAAACATTCTCCGCGAAAGTTTCAATGGTTCGCTGGTTACTCCTCTTGTTTTGATCATGGTTCCATCACACGCTTAGGTGGCCTGGAAGCCGCAAAGTTAGTTGCATCGTCATTGTTTGGGCCTGCCTTATCTTGTGTGTTCGCTCAATGCGTGAAGGCCAACCGAAAGGAGCAGTTAACACAACACTCGGTATAGGCAGTCGTGTCGGAACAAGTTTCCGCGGAAAAGCGCAGAAGCTACGCATAGTTTTGATGCTACGCTCGTGGAAGGGTTGCGGAAGGTTTTTTTTTCTGTGGAATTTCTGCTCCGGAGATTATACTTCGAAGCAACTTGTATTCACGTCGGGCAGCAGACACCCACCGAAGTCTTGCGGAGCAGAAGTTTGGCAGAGTGATCAATAGTGGCACAGTTGCAAATGGGGCTCGCAATGTCTGGTGGCCTGAACCATACTTGAGTGTTGTGATCCGCCACGCATGAAATTGCAGCAGAAGTGAAGACACCGACCGAAACATCAGCGGAAGGTCCGCGGAAGGGCATGCTTGTAATTCTCGCCAAGCCCACATCCCTTTTTCGCAGTCGTACTTTCACAGCACAAATCGAAAACCATCCGAAAGCATGAGACCAAAGCCGCCACAGACATGCAAATTCCAGTTTGCCATCATGGCAGTATGGCAGCATTGCAAAATTGAGTTTTACACATGGGGTCTAGGGTTCAGGGTTTAGAAGCGCTTTTGCCATAGATAAGCTTGTGAAACCATGTTCTGTCCAAAGGGATGATCTTGGAACGCCGCGCTTTCCCGAACGAATGTCTTGGGGAAATCCGGTTTTCGATGAGTACAAGATGAAAAATCATTTTTCATCCGTTGGAATGAGTTGGAGCGAAGCTAATGTTCCATACAGGGGCTGTTTTGAAAATAATTTCTAATTGTTATTACCCTTAATCCCTATACCATTCCTATAAAGCCCATTAAAATTGAATTTTGATAGGGCCCCCAAACCTGATTTAGGAAAGAGATGGACTTGGGAAACCAGGTGGACTTAGGTTTATCCATAGGATTCCAAAAGAACTTGAGTCTGTCATCAATGTTCTTTTAGCGCTAAATCGCGGAAGCTCGCGGAAACTCATGAAATCCATTACGCTTGAAAAAAAGACCGCGCGGAAGTGACGTTTGCTTCCGCGGAAGCTTTTGTGGAAGGGATGGCGGAAGCATTTGTTTCCGCCTAGAAACTGAACAAGGGTTTTGGCAACCGCTCAAAAGGCATTAACGTAGAACCAAGAAGACGCAAGCAACGACCAAAACAGGGAAAAACTAACACGGGAAAACACGACCGAACAAATGGCAGCAGCTCAGACCCTGTGGATACGAAAATGCGACTGAAACATACCCCAAACCCTAAACCTAAATCTATAAAACTCTAAACAGCATTCTAGGGTTTGAATACATTGCCGATGCTTGCATTTGCATGGTTTTGCACTGACAACTCCATTAAATGCGCTATGGTTTTGAGCCCCGTCTTCATCACGCGCTCAGGTCCAGACAAGTCACCTGCGAAGAAGGCGCGTAAGATGTTGTTGGGAGTGATCGATCCTGCATTCTTCCCATTCCTCTTGCCAACCTGCCTGAGCCCAAGGAGCAGAGCACGATGAGTCTTTTTCTGAATGCAGTAAGGGGTTGGGAGCTCAGAGAAAGCACGCGTGGGCAAGAAGGTTGCTTTTGTATTTAAGAAAAAGGAGCAACAGAAATAATCACAGCAAAAACAATGGTACAGCTGAGATAGCCCGCAGAAGATCGAGAAGTTTGTGGCTGATCACCCGGCGATTACCGGCCCGGGAGTCAGGGTTGATGGGAGCTTTTCTGTGGGTGCATCAGTGCATCTACCATTTGGGTTTTGGATGCGTTCCTTGGGGGGAAACCCAACAGGAAGGATGACATAGTTATGACCTTCGCGGATGCCGGTAACGATGACATCTAGTCCGACGTAGCGGATTCCACCTACACGAATTGCACTGAGTTATTCTTGGAAGAACCGTAACTTTCAAGCCGAATCGACCAAACGCTTCTAAAACTACAGCTCCTGCGAAGTCATCTATCACGAATTCACATTGCACAAAGATGTTCGCAGCACCAAACACAAAACACACAACAATTCAGTTTGCTTTGGATTGCACCGCTTGGTTGTTGCATGCGTTCTCCAAGGTGCGCTTGCCAGCGCCTTTGTGGAAGGTGCCGCAAAATCCTTGCTCGGAGGCCAGTTCCCTGGCCTTCCTTGGATTGTAGACGAAACATCTGCCCTGGCCCGATCGCAGGAGCCTTAAGCTCGGACGGCAATGCCTCTTCATCACAAAGGAGTGATTGCCCGTGCAAAGCGAGCCCGTAGTTTTAGACGAATCTCTGGGCTACAGACTGTGTATGTCTTTCGAAATATGTTTTGCATTCATTTTGCGTTTTTTTTGGTTTTCGTTTGTTGCCTTTGTTTTTTTGTGATTGTGGTTTGTGTTTGTTGCTACTTCTGCTGCTACTACTTCTGCTGTTTCTCGTGCTTTTGCCCATGCTGCTGCTATTGCTGCTGCTACTTCTACTGCTACGACGACGCCAGGCGTGGCCCTCAGAGATTCTTATAACCTTAGTTCCCTTTTCAAAGCCAGTCCAGACATGCGACTGACTCAAGCGATCAAATCGCGCTGTGGGTGGTCCTGAAGGGCTTTTCAAAGCCAGTCCAGACATGCGACTGAAGCAAGCGATCAAATCGCGCTGTGGGTGGTCCTGAAGGGCTGGAGAGGTTGTCATCTGCCAGCGTGCTAAGCTGAAACATAATTTATCATTCTTAAGCCTGCACCCAGCGACTAGGCGATGACTCATATCCGAGTTGCAGTGTTCCTCTTGTTTGTGCAATGAGCGGTACAATCACGGCCCAGCAAGATAGAATATTAACAGCTGCGTGCCACTCATTCCGCAAACCAGGGAGAGCCCAATTAGTTTTGGCCGTTGGGCTGTGCATTGCGTTATGCAGCGCGCTTTCAGTCGATGCACAAAAAAGCACTGCTTGGGACACACCCGGTGCTGGACCGACGGAACAGCCTTGCCCTCCAAGCATTTCCATGACAGATCCATGACAATTAACCCTCCATTGTTTTCACCACAATTAGTCGCTAAAACAATCCTCAAACATGAACGTCATGATTATACCAAATTGTTCTGATTATGGATCCATCATTCGCCATTGTGTGCAATAATCAATAATTAATGCAGGAACCATTGAACCATTTAACACCATGTTTTTGCCCATGATGCTTGCATGACACCATGATGATCAACATGAAGAGACAATAGAGACCATTAAACAGCAATAACGGCAAGCACCCGAGTCAATACTTACACACGGGTGGAAGACACTGAACTCACCGCCAGGATTTTGAATCGCTGACCATGGCTGAGCTTCAGGTTGCAAGAGGAGGTGCCTGTAGCCAGGTAACTTTGAAGTGTTTTTTGGTGCCCCGGACTCCATGCGCCCTTTCCATGGCAAGGTCCAGGCCACCTACTG